GTCGTTTAAACCGTATTTTTTCGTGAATAACTATTTACAGATATTTACACATATAAATAGTATTGACCAATGTACAGAAACCGCACTTGAGAGTGCAGATGCTTTGTCTCGGAAACAATATGCCAGTACGCAGAATGTCCCCATCTCAAAAGATTTCCCCATATATGTACATTAGACTGCATCACTCCCCATACAAAAAAAAATCGGTACTATTTTTCCATTGGAATTATAAAATCTATTATATTTTAAGACGTCCACCAAAATATTTCGGAGAGACTCAGACGTCAGCCGAAATTGGCCTNGTGTCCCCATCTCAAAAGATTTCCCCACATATGTACATTAGACTGCATCACTCCCCATACAAACAAAAAATCGGTACTATTTTTCCATTGGAATTATAAAATCTATTATATTTTAAGACGTCCACCAAAATATTTCGGAGAGACTCAGACGTCAGCCGAAATTGGCCTGTGTGTGTTTGCATTTGTTTTCACACAGTGTCGCCAGAAGTAGGGAAAATTCCCTACATGCAGGGATTTTCGGTTTAAAATTTTATTATATTAAGCCAAATGTAGGGAATTTTTGACAAAAAGTATATCAAATAAAACACCTCTTTGAGGTAAAATTTTCAAGTGACGAAAGCTGAACTAGAAACACAAAATTTATGATATTAATTTCGTCACGAATGCCGCGGTTCGGCCATTTTTTTATTTTGTGAGTAGACTAGCGTTTTTTTTTAACTAAGCACATGTATGAATATTAGACTGCGCTTTATTTTGCAGCTTTGTCCTACAAAGCAAGACTCCCCCCAGAAAGGTTCACTTGGTCATAAAAACGTGACCTGCGAAAAATTGTTTAAAGCCGATAACAGAAAGACGTGCCTCAAAGGCCCTAAAGTTCATCAAATTTATGTAATTTTTCACAAAGTGGTAAAAATTGCCTGTAAAACAGTGGGAACATATACTTTAATGGCACTTGATTTAGTTTTGTCCCCCGATGTCTAAAATGGCTACAATATCTTAAACCTCCCTAACTTTTAAGGTTATTGAGGTTTTTGCCGCGTCAAATTGAAATTTTCTAGGTTTTGAGAAGTTAATTTTTAGCGCAGTAAACTTAGGTAAAATTGGCACGAAGAAAAAATAATGTTTTAGTGAAATTTTATAGATCTACAGTCCTGCCCCTAAATTTCATATGGAAACATTCCGCCATCTCGGATTTTAGGTCCACAAATCGGAGGAGAAGCTCGGTAAGCGCCAATCTATTATTATTATTAATTTGATGAAAATTTACTGGGTTAAAATTTATCTTTTCAAATCCTAGAAAGTTGTAATTTTACGTGGAAAAACCCACAATAACTTTAAAAGTTGGGGAGGTTTGAAAATATTGTAGCCATATTTGATATCGGCGGACAAAACTACATCAAGTGCCATTAAAACATTTTACATTTCTCACTGACTTATATTCAATTTTGACCACTTTGTAAAAAATTGCATGAAACATTTTCGGAAATTTAGGGCGTTTGAGGCACGTCTTTCCGTTGTCCGATTTTAATAATTTTTCGCAGCGCACATTTTTATGACCAAAGGAACATTTGTAGCTTACCNAAAAATATTGTAGCCATATTTGATATCGGCGGACAAAACTACATCAAGTGCCATTAAAACATTTTACATTTCTCACTGACTTATAGGCAATTTTGACCACTTTGTAAAAGATTTTTCGCAGCGCACATTTTTATGACCAAAGGAACATTTGTAGCTTACCAAAAATATTTTCTCCCTACAACTAAAGGTACGACCGCACTAAGCGACGCGACACTGCAGCGGCACTACGCGACACGGCGCGACACTTTTTGGTATACCGCTTTGAAACTGCAGCGGCGCGTCACTTCGCTGCATTTTTTTTTAGTTATTTGCGTCAAAACCTTCAAACAAGATGGATGCCAGTGACGCTGATGTAATGTTAATGCCTTTTATTTTCCTTGGCGAACTCTCCTCAAATTTTATGTTTCTTTACATAAATTTTTCTTCGCGTAGCTCCGCTGTAGCGTAGTGCGGTATGCTNTAGTTATTTGCGTCAAAACCTTTAAACAAGATGGATGCCAGTGACGCTGATGTAATGTTAATGCCTTTTATTTTTATTTTCCTTGGCGAACTCTCCTCAAATTTTATGTTTCTTTACATAAATTTTTCTTCGCGTAGCTCCGCTGTAGCGTAGTGCGGTATGCTCCATAAGAGTCCATGCAAAAAATATTTTGCCGCGCTGTGTAGTGTCGTGTCGCGTCGCCTACTGCAGTCTTACCTTTAGGCGCAGTTTGATGTATATACATTAGACTACATCACCAAAAAAAGTTGCGGTTTTTCCGCCGGGATTACAACTTTTGTTATATTTTAATACGTCCACCAAAATATTTCGGAAAAAAATTAAGAGTTAAGCAAGCTGGACCGATTTGAAAATACATCCAAACATGGAGTTTTTAAGAATAAAAATAGTTTCTTAAAGAACCTTTTGAAAGAAGTCCCCTCAGATGACAAAACAGATTAGGCTTAAAAAATCTGCATGAAAATATTTAAAAATCTTTTCAACGGAATTGTAATAATGAGATTTTTGATGCTGTTTTTTTTACTTTTTTCAAAGATTGATTTACAAAAAACTTAAATAACTGGGCCAAAACTATTGTGATTTAGACTTCTGGGATCTCGGTAGAAAGGAATTTTCCCACTATTTTTATTTATGTGCAAAAAAAAGTCATTCGTGTCCCAATTTTTTTTTTCAAATACCAACACATCTTAGTTCAACTTTGAATGATGTTCGTTCATCCTACCTTTCTCTTTCATTCTTTGCATGAGCTTATTAGCAAAGAAATAAAAAGGGTGAGAAAATACCTTTCCAATGAAACTTCACAAGTCTAAATCGGAAGAGTTTAGGTTCAGTTATTCAAGTTTTTCTTATACCAGTCTTTGAAAAAAGTTTAAAAAACAGCATCAAAAATCTCATTATTACGACTCCGTTAAAATTTATTTATGTAAATTTTTTAAGCTTAAGCCATTTTGTCATTTGAGGGCATTTTTTCAAAAAACATCTTTAAGAAACTAGTTTTATTCATAAAAAACTCCATTTTTGGAGGTATTTTCAAATCGGTCCAGCTCGCTTAAATCTTAATATTTTTTCTGAAATAACGTCTTAAAATATAATAGAGTTTATAATTCCAATGGAAAGACTGTACCGATTTTTTTTTTGTCTAATATACATACATATCTGAAAATATGCGTTAGCAAAAAAATTCGAATACAGGGCACCCTCAGTAATCGCGACTCACGATCAATGTGAAATCTCGATTTTCGCGAAGTACTATTTTTAGCATTGCAACCTTTAAACGTTAGTCATCTGTTTGGCGAACAATCGGGCTTATTAATTGCATGATGAAATCTCCAAAAACGTAAATTTTTAATTACATCTGTATATTAATATTAAGTGCGGATATGTAAATATGTACGTATACGAAATAAAATGCGAGTTTATAAAGTAAATGCATGTATACGAAATTGATGGCTGGAATTTTGTTGTTTTTCTCTTAAATTTTATAATAAAAAAAGGCCTAGTAATCGCGACAACCTCGGTTATCGCAACCACCACTAATTTCAATCTGTCGCGATTACCGAAGGGGTACTGTACTTGCAATTTTCAAACATTTCATGGCTTAACTTATATTTCCAATGTCTTTTGCAGGATACTCATTCCTTGTTACTTGGATAACGTCATTTGTGATGGTCATAGTTCACGAGCGCGTGCCTGATATGAAACGATATCCGCCATTGCCAGACATTTTTCTCGACAACGTACCGCACATACCTTGGGCATTCCATATGTGCGAGATCACAGGCACGTTGCTGTTCCTAATCTGGAGCTGCGTTTGCATCTTTCACAAATACCGCCTTGTACTTTTGCGACGATTCTTTGCTCTCGCTGGCACAGTGTTTCTGCTTCGATGTGTCACAATGTTGATAACATCGTTGAGTGTGCCAGGCACTCATTTACAGTGCAATCAGAAGGATTACGCAGTTGATGATACGGAGTAAGTGAATTAATGCGATTTTATATTTTGATAATGAATTGGAACTTCTATTATTTTCTACTATTATATAATTTCTTGGAGATATTTTAACATAAATAAACATAAAATAACATCGTTACATAAAGTATTTTTCATATTTGTATTAAGACGTGGGGGAAACCCGCGGGAAAAAGCTAGTCCGCTATATAACTCAAAAACATTAAAATTTGAGTTGCAAATGTAAATGTAATTAGAAAAGTTTTTTCTAACATCAGTCACCATCAGCAAGCAATGGCAAACCTCCTAGTGTATTTCAGCCAAAAAAAAAGCTTCTCATAGAATTCATTGCCGTTCGGAGTCAGCTGAAAACTCTAGGTCCCTCCATTTGTGTAAGAATACCAAGGCGCACACCACAAAATGGACGAGAAGCTCGGCCTAACACCTAGCAAAAGTGTAAGCTCCAAAATATTATTATTAGTATTAATCGGCTATTTTTTTATGAGGGGTTCAGGTACAAGCTATAGATTTACCCAAAGATTTACGCGATAAACTTCTAAGAATACTTTCTGAAAGCACTGAATGTTCAGAAATTTAGGTAAATTGAGTTAAAACAGAAAATAAAAGTAAGCAGACAGAAGCCTACTACCATTCCGTATGACCTTGGTTCGATCACTGATCCGAACAACATCTAAATCAGAGAGTGCTTCTGCCTTGAAAGGGCTTCCCATAAAAACCATTTGCCGTTCGCAGGCGGTGCAAATTGTAGGTTCCTCCATTTGTGTTTTAACATCAGGATGTACACCACAAATTGTATAAAAAGCTAGGCCAAACACTTTGCAGAAGTATAAGCGCCGAAATATTATTATTGTTTTTATTAATACTACGAACTTAAGTATGATTAATTACTGACAAACACCGATTTATTCCTCTTTTTTACTTATTTCAGCCTGACTATCACAGAAGCATTGGAATTGCGCATTTCACGGGCCTATACCATTTGGAGTGGGCTAGGTATGTCTATTCAAGGAGTCCGTACATGCGGCGATTACATGTTTAGTGGACATACGGTAGCGCTGACACTGTTAAACTTTTTCATTACTGAATGTGAGTCGATATAGAATTTATCTACATAAGTACATAGATATTTTTTTAAAAAATATTTAACGTTAAGGCACTTTAGAAAACATAATTAAATACCCCATCTAATTGTTTACTGAACTAAGACACTTATCACTAAAATTCTAAGAAAACTTGTAGATACAATCAAGCTCTAATACCGTAAACACATCTATTACATACCTCATTTGCCAGAGATATTGTGACGTACAACTTGAAACTTAAAAATGCCATGATTTATACGATTTGAATAGGATTTGGTGAGTTGTTGTACTAATGTCGGAGAAATTTTTGAGCCGAATTGTTTTAAGGCGTTGTTTGAAGGCTACAAAAAAACAAAGAAAGGATGTATAAGAATAAAGTAAAGAAAATTGTGTCTGACGCATGATAAATTGAGATAAGTAAATAAGATGGTTGGATACTGAAGGGGAAAGTTTCTTAAGAGTTACTTAAGCGGGACAGATATTTTTGCGGAGAAATGTGAAAGAAGAATTTTCCTTTTGATGAGTGTAATATGGATGGGCTTTCGAGAGAACTACTTTACGCAATATCTCTGTTCGCGTGGACAACAAGTACCGAAATAGATGAAATGATGAACTGTTTGATGTTTATGATGACCCCGACTTAGTTAAATGCACTGATTTACAGAGATTGCACTGGCTTGGAAATGTCGTGCGCATGAATAATGACACTCCGGTAGAAAGATCCCGATTCGGCACACAATGGTGGGCAACGTAAGAAAAGACGCCACGAATACGATTGAAGCAGCAAGGACAGAAGAAGCTGTCCGAACTCGGAATGAACAACTGGTGCAACAACCCAAAGGATAAGAGAGATCGCGAAGTTTTTTGGTCTCATCCCCAAACCGATAATTGGTTGTAAGTGCCAAATAAGAAGAATGTGTGTATGTAAATAAAATAAACTTTGTTACGGTAAACATTTTGGGCTTTGATTACCACGACACTAAAATAGTTTCTTCTGCGTTAGAGAAAGCGTGTACGATCCTTCTTTTATGATGGCGCCGATTCTACAACCTCGAAGCAAAAGGCCACCAAATTTTTGTATTTTGAATGTGCTGTTTCAATAAAAAAACCTCCGCTGAATTCGAAGATAAATATAAAATTTTTGAGATATAAGCAAATTTCGGGTTTTTTTTGCGTTTTGAAAAGTGTATATCAGTTTTTTTTTTTATATAGTTTGGCATCTTTATACACTATGTCAAAGATATTTTCCAACCAGATTATCATAACCAGTTTCACGAAGGAAATTTAAGTGAAACATGATATTTTTATTTGAATTTATAATGGAAACTGACAGAATTTTTTATCTTTTTCACTTAAATTGCTTTCGTGAAACTGGCATTCATTAATTTATTGCCAATTTCGCATAATTTTTTAAGACACTTCCAAAAAAAACTTATTTTTTGTATAAACATCAACACGGAAAGTATTGTTTACTTCTGCTTTCTTTCTTGAACGTCAAAATATAATTTTTTACAAATATAATAAGATTCTGCTTATCTAAATAGAATAATAAAGATAGAAATTATAAGCGCTTAAATAAAAATACACAACTACAATCGATAGCAACTACAATCGGTAGCTGAGTGGAATATCGACCTATCTCGGCAGCCAGTTCGTAAACGACCTATCTCAGAGAACTTTTCAAGAACGCCCTCCGTGGTGTTTTATTTTGAAATGAAATGATCAAAAGCAAACACCACGGATTAATTCAATATATAACAAAGTGGCTTTATTAGTCAAATTGGTGAAATGTGACTTGTGATTTTTGGTATACAATATTACCTTGAAAAATACGCAGGAGTCGTGGCTGGATCGCTTCCGGTGTGGTCGAAGTGCTCGATAGAAGTGACCGAGCTTAATCTTGAGCAATTAAGTTTGACCTCCAAGCAACAAACTGTTTGGAGGGGAAACTTAACGAAGTTTTATATTCAAGCGGTAAAAGGACATTCATGTGTATGTGCTAACGGCGTAGCAATTATTTGGCCCTATATATACACATGTATGTATGTGTGTGTGCTCGGTTACATGAAAGTGCATTCTCACATTAGGGTGGTTCACCCGTTTAGTTACTTGGTTTAGCGTGGAGGCCTAAACACTTAGTAAATTTTTTTTGTAAAATACTTCCAAAGTACAAATGTACGTTATTACCTGCTCCTGACATTATTTTATGACACTTAAAAAAAGGTAATAATAAAAAAACGGTGACACTTTTACCTGAAAAATTATTGCTTATGAGCGAGCTCACCACCTCTTCTCAAGTTTGGTAGAGTACTTCTTAGACACCCTGTACATGTACATATCGATGGCTGAGTGGAAGATCGATCTATCTCGGCAGTCAGTTCAAAAACGCCCTATTTCAGAATTTGGCTGAAGAACGCCCTATTTTACAATTTTTTTGAAAATTGCGCTATCTTAGAATTCGGTTCAAAAACGCAGTTCCAGCTGCCGATTCAAAGACGCCTTATCTTAGCCCATTTTCAATGAATTTTCGTATGAGATAGGGCGTTCCTCAACCAAATTCTGAAATAGGGTGTTCTTCAATCAAATTCTGCAGTA